GATACTGTTTAATTTCTTTTAAGTTTAGTGTAAATTATCATCGGTCGATGTAGGTAAGCCGCTTCTTTGCCTTTTGAGGTACAGAAACCTCAAAAGCGGGTGGTTTTATTTATAGTAACCACCTAAGTAACGTAAGTTAATTAAAAAGCAAACATTGTAAGTTATTATGTCCCATTTTCATACACTCAAGCTCCAAGCTTCCCCCGTGAATTTTATTTCGACGTTAATTGTACATGTTCCGTATTTTACTTTTAAATTTTGTTGTTTAGTCATTTAAAGAGAGTAAATGAAAGTAAATAATGATTAAAAATATTTATTTATTACGCGATGTGAGTCAATAACTTTTGATTATATATGTTTTTGGAGTTTACTCCTTAAGAATCGATTTGCATATATAAGGGGCCCGGTATGAGAAAAATGTGAGGAGTAAAATATATCGATGAATGACATTAATGACCTCGTTACGTTTTTGTGCGCAATCTCATCTGCGCACCTTTCACTTTTAGCCATGGCAACGGATAAAAAACATTAAGTTGTCACAAATGTCAATAAAATAAAGAAACTAAAAATAGATAAAATCGGAGCAAAATTAATGAAAACAAATAAATAACAGAATATAGAGAAATGCCGGTAAGTGTCCAGCACTCGGAATAGTGATTTTCAGTACCTACAGATGGAATTATAATACATATTTATAAAATGATGACTAGTGTGTGATATTTTTGAAATTGTGTGTTTCCAGAAATACATAATAAAATATAAGATGAATATCGCTGATGTTAGATGATAAAATGTGTGACATGGAACCTATGATAGTCGAAACCATGGGACGATTCCTGAGGTATCTCTACTTGTAACCGACTTCTTCGGACTTGATTTTGTTTTGTGTCTGTTCAAAGACAATTGTTTTTAGAGTGTAAACTCCGGTCGTGCGTCGGAGCTGACACACACAATTTTTTTTTACTATGTCTCGCTTTCGACTAAAGAATCCCGCTTTTTTCACTCAAAAAATTCCTAAATACCGACTTGGTAAAAAAAAAACTGGCAACGCTGGTCTTAGCTAACATTGGTAGGTGGAAGTTCCTAAGCGACTATCCGCCAGACTACTCATAATTTCATTACTAGACGACTCAACTTTAGACATAAACGATGCAATTATTTTTCTCCGTTAAGCGTTTAATGAGTCGACACGCAAGCCTGTGAACATTTCTGAGGCACTACAATAGTGTCTTAAGCCCATCAGTTGTCTATAGATGTTGTTGTAAATGCGAACACTTACACAATCACCCTTATGCCTGACAGAAAGAGCGAAAAGGGGTAATTTTTACATCAGGTAATTATTTTGAAAATTGTCTTATGACCATGTTACCTGCTATACATGAGGCTTTGCGTTGAAGTGCTTTGTCTGAGTCATCGTTAAGTTTTGATGTCACTATATGTCCAAGGCATTTGAAGCCGTTCATAAATTTTATTGGTTTTCCATTGAGGGAAACAGCGGGAATGTTTTCCGGGCCGCTACTCGCTTTAAACACAACCATTTCAGTCCTTTTCAAATTGTAGAGAAGATTATGAACCTCTGCATAGTTTTTATACATTTCAATTAGTTTTCGCAATCCCTTTATTGTAGGACTGAGCAGCAACATATTTCCCTCGTTACGGAAGTTGTTAACATATATGCCGTCTAACTTGAGCCTGACTGGAGTGGCACTTAACTCCGTGATTAAATCATTGACGTAAAGATTAAATAGATCTGGCGAGGTTAGGGGGGCTAACCTTACCACCTACACGTAAGACGATAACATTAAGACAACAACTCTGTACCCGATCTGCTTCGATCAATTGTTGTTTAAAATCTATCCCACATTACTTGTCTGATTTTGATACCAGTGCTTCAGGAGATCGGCAACCCTAGCCGGCACACTCTCTCTACGGAGCTTCTTCCAGAGAACGTTATGATTCATCGTATCAAAAGCACGATTAAGGTCTAAAAATCATGCATAAGGTACCACAGTACCTTCCCTATTGTAATAGTTGACCACCTCTATTTAAAAGCAAATATTGCCATATCAGTCGATACCTATGGTCGAAATCCGAACTGCCCGTCATCGTAATAAATTTTGTTAAACAGATTTGTTATGTCGATTTTTGCCCTTCGTAATGACAGGCAAACTTATTTTATGTTTTTTGTCTGTTTCCTAAACTCAGCAAAATTGCAAAAAAAGTGATGTCGCGCCAGCATATCCATTTTAATTTTATTTTGATTAGGCTGTATGTATCGAACCGCAGCCTTAAACTCCCTACGTGAGGCAACCATGCTGTCATCCAGAGCGGGGCCCACCGACCTCTACAAATTGTAAAAAAATAGTACCTTTCTTTTATGTGTGCATTCCTTATTCTATTTTACATCAAAGCTTTTTTCAGCCGCCGAACGTAGGAAATTTAAAATATCACAATAAAGTTCGCCAATATGATTATTGATAGTCAAGTTATTATCACATAAAACTCAATAAAATTACTATCATAAAAAAGAATATTATATTTATTTATCCTTCAATATTGTATCACAATACAAAGTATAAGTATTTAGTTTTTTGTTCAGGTCCCCTATTCCCCTATATGTTTTCTGTCCTCAACTGAATACTGCGTAAAGGTATTTCTTACACCGTATTAAATTAAAATTGCAATTAACAACTAACGGGAAATGATCAGACAAAATGAATTATAGTTAACGTAAACGGCCTTTTCAAGTTGTGTCGCAGCAGCAGTCACAACGCAATGATCCAACCATCGGCATGTCCTATGCGCTTCACTGACAAATGTATAGAACTACTATCAAGTTTTTCCATGTCTAAACATCAGAGACTGCTCCATACAATAATCTACCAGTTCATTATATTTCAAAAAAAGTTCCAGGATGAGCATTAAAATCACTTAAGACAATAACACACTCAATGTCCATGTTTTCAATGACGGCACTTATATTTGAAGAATACTGTGTAAATTCAGGCAGATTTTCATTACTGTTGATGGGCATTACACTAAATACTAATAAGCTACGATCATCCCGCACTAGGAGTACTGCCACAACTCTGTCACTGTCACACTGCTCAGTCTCAACTTTAGCTAATAAGCTAGACCGCCGCATTAAAGCTGTCCCACTATACTGCCGCTAACGCAGTATCCCGGCTGAAGTATCCACTGATGATCTGGCTGTACAGCCAAAGCATAATATTATTCATGAAACCTAAGTCATGTGGCAAAAGTCATGTTTCCTGAAGAGTAATAATATCGCATTCTTTGCAGAAGTCTTTTACGTGTTCTACAGAACTCTTAACTGACTTGAAATTGTACGAAACAAATCTAATGTTGTTTTTGTTGTGTAAATCCATATATTATTTTTTAGTTACAGCGGTGCCACATTTAAGGTTAAGCAGTTTATGAAAACCCATCACACACACACACACATCTGATGGTGAGTGGTGATCAAATGTTACCTTGATTCCTTAAGTAAATTGTCAATAAAGTTAGTTATGTCAGCCTCACAGACCTGAAAAAAAGACGGACGCAATATCAAAGGCGAATCATGTGAAGCATGACAATGACATGAAGGTCAGACAAAATCGTGTGTTGTACACTACCTACACTCACACTAATGCACCAGGTCGGACAATCCGCTGCCATTTGAACTAGCGTGACAGCGCCAGTCACACGTTCAATTGCTCTGATATATTTTAAAAAAAATGCCATCTTGTGTGGTGAAATCTTGTAAAAACTACACGAGTAAATTTGAAAAGTCACAAGGAATCACCTACTATGCTTAAGTATTGACGTTTCTTGATATTTTTTTTATATTATATTTTATTTACAAGAATGAAAATTGTAAACAAACATACATCTGTGTGGCTACTTTATTAACGGGAAATTTTCCCTAAAAGTAGGGAATTTGTATTTCTTGCATTTGTGACTAGGCAAGATCAGATTTCGTAAATTTTTAGGGTTCCGTATCCCAAAAGGAAAAGAATAGAAGCCATATTATTCATAGAATATTTTATATAAATTATTGTCTTGCCTTCTTTCTAATAGGTTTCCTAGAAATAGAAACCGTAGAGATGACTGGGTTTTAATTATTCGATACTGCAAAGGGGATAACAATTAGGAAACCATCACCTTCCAGTACTGTGTGCAGTGCACACGTTGTTTGGTTTTCGTTCAAACCGGAGCCTGTAAAGAATCCGAAACGGCGGAAAATGTTTGTGTTGTGTTATATTTATTTATTATTATTATATGCATTATTGTTTTCTTAGTTTCACAGAATTTCATAATAAATTTTATCTCAGTACGACTGGACAGGGCGCTGCGGCTCTTGCAAAAAATATATTATTAGACGAAAGGTACATCATGTTGCGTCTCTTTCTACGTTATAGGATTGGCATGATATCTCTTTTCCTCACTCTGTCAGTCTTTAAATACCTACTCAATCTATGAATGAAATACTTACATTTGAAAGAAGAAATAGCAATATTAGTTTATTATATTTTTATTTAAAGCATTAGTCTGCGCGATTTATGTATATTAATGTATGTTATTAACCTCATATTTAATATTAAGACACTAACATTTATATGTAAACAATAAAGTTCTTTATACATAACAAGTGCTTTTTTTTCTATCTCGGTGTTCCTAAAAATTAATTTGATAGACCTACATCATGTTTCTGAAGTGCAACCGTTTAAATTGCTGAAAAATCGGGAGCTCACAACGAGGAAAACACGTGGTAAATATCCCGTTTTTATAATATATATTTGATTACATAATGTTAACAATATTTTAGGTTGGGAGATTTAAAAAGTAGGGAAATTGATGATTTACCCGACAACCCTCAAATCACGCACACGCTTTAAGCGGGCGGCCATTTGCATGCCTCACTCGAGATAAGACGAGGTTACGTCCCCGTGGTCAGCCTACGTTAGATGTTTCATTTCGTAGTATAGTGTGACGTGTGAACATTTGGTCCATAACTCGCCGGATTTGAATAAGTAACGATAAAACAAAGATTTGGATACTGTAAGTCGTAAATATTATATAGATTCCAAGAAATATACATAATAAAAGGCAAAATATTCGTCGTAAAATACGGATAATTATTTGACAGTTGGCAAAGAGTATAACGGAAAATTATTTTGAATATATGTACTCTCCTTTTCTCTATTACTCATACCATGGATATATGAAAAATCTAAGTTGAACAAAGAGTAATATTTTATTGTGTCAAGTAACTGCAAGAAAAATGTCTTTACAAGAAATAATTATTACGCAAAATGAATTATCAATACAAATTAATAGAGCCTTATCCAATTTCAAGAAATCGAAAACAAGAATAAATAAGTCATGTATTGAAACAAGATTAGATTTATTAGAAGGTAACTTTCAATTATTCAAAAACAACCATCTTGACATTACGAAAAAGGCAACGCAAGATGAAAAGAAAAGTTTAACATATTTTCAAGAAGATACGTACTATAGTTGTGAAGATGTCTATCTCGAGTTTAAGACTTTGATGAAAGAGAAATTAGAAGCATTGCTTTTAAACTCGTCGACTTCTATGAATAAGGGCGAAGTTCCTGTCTCGACGGCTCCAGGCAACAATTGAAATACCTGCCTTTTCAGGAAGTTACAATGAGTGGACAGGCTTCTATGATTTATTCAAGTCGTTGATACATAATAATTTACAATTGTCTAATATAGAAAAATATCATTATCTGAAAAGTAATTTGAAGGGCGAAGCAGAGAATTTATTAAAGCAGTTTCCATTGACAGAAGCGAACTATGAGAAAGCATTAGAAGTATTGGAGTCTAGGTATGATAACAAAAGACTTATAGTACATTCGCACATCACACGTCTACTTAATCAAAGGAAGCTTACGTTAGAGTCAGCCAAAGGGTTACGCGCATTATTAGACACTACGAATGAAGTATTGAATGCACTTAATAATGTTGGCGTAACAACAACAAACTGGGATCCTCTTATCACATATATCATTGTAGCAAAGTTCGACAATGATAGTCAGCGTTTATGGGAACAACAGTTAGCAGGGACTAGATATGTTCCAACTACTAAGCAGATTTTAGCAGCAGATTATTTAATTTTTTGGAGGTAAGATTCAGATCGTTGGAGGCTTTGAGTGCTACACACAAAGAAGTTGTTGCGCGTCAACCGTCAATCAGATCGTTCAAAGCGGATATCGAAGTCCTTTGTTCGTTTTGTGTGAAAGATCACTACATCTACAACTGCAAGGAGTTTGTGAAATTCAGCCCAGAAGAACGTAGAGATGTAGTCCAAGAGAAAAAATTATGCTTCAATTGTCTTGTACCTGGACTATATATGCTCAGATTATTAAGGAGGGGTTAAAGAGATATGGTTCAGTCATTGCACAGAATTCGCATCTCGGTTGGTTTATTTCAGGAAAAGTTGAAGAAAAGCACACTGAAACTAGAGAAGTTGTTTTAATGAACAGCCAACTTGTTACAGATAAGATAATACGACGATTCTGGAAATCTGAAGAACTACACCCTAAAAATCGTAAAAAGACTGCACGTGAAACAGAGTGTGAGGAGATATCTAAAAGGACACATTCTCGTACTGACTCGGGGTGTTATATTAAGTATAATGGCACACGGCTCGGAGTATCAAAGTCTCTTGCTGTCAAACGTTTGTTGCAAACTGAACAAAGGCATCAGAGGAATGAGGATTTACACAAGCGTTATAGAGGCTTTATGGATGACTATGAAGAGTTACAAGATATGAAAAAGGATAGTTTTAAGAAAAGAAAGAAGAACCACCAAGCCACTTGTTAGTATTAATTTAGATGAGAGACAAATATGGGAACATCTTTGAACAAGCATTAGTAATTGTTTCACATTTATAAAATAAAAATACTTAGGTTTTGGGATAGCGAACATACTCATATACGTAACATTTTGCAAGAAGTTTTGACTGCATTAACTAACTCAAACTATGTTAGTAAACGTTTTGCACAAATAGTAAGATAGAATGTTAGGACTGAAAAAAAAGCTAGTTCTGAATACAATGTTTGAATGTAAATGATATGCATGAATAAGTTATTCTACATAGTTTATATTCTACAAGAGGATATTAATTGTTTGTTTCTAAGATAAAAAGGATAAAGAGCAACGTTTATAAATTGAACAACAAGTATAAGTAGCTGTAACTTCTCTAATGAATTTTCTAAGTACTTAACAGCTAAAAATTAATACAGTTCATTGTTTAATGAATTTCTAAGCAATTTTAAGAATGATGGAATGAAATATCTATACAGTCCATGAATTGTATTAGAATTTAAGAAACATCATTTTGAAATAATAATAATAAACTATCGAATGGTGAATGTGTTACTTAATCAAGTCTATTATATATTATGTTGTATATATGTATGATGATGTAGACATAAAGATGCGCCCTTTCATCATGATGCTTAGTTTTTTGTTAGGTTATTTTTGGTAAATATATTAAATTGTATTTTTTAAATAGACCATTGACTATTGCTTTAAATGTAGGTAATATAGTCTACATGCTGGATAGAATAATTAAATGTTAGATCTTTGTCAAGCTACATGTTAAAACAATACAATTTGTTATATGATATGCAACACCTAGATCTACTTATCGAGTAACGGGTAATTTGCCGTCAACATAAGTCATTGTTTCTAAAGCGTTTTGGTAATAATATTAATTTCCGATACAAAATATTTAAAGTTTTTCATTCAAAGTCAAAATTTGTTTCGAAATTATTATCCAAGTTTTCGAAGATCTATTCAAGATAATTTTATATATTTTGTTTTAAACAATGAATAGTTAATATGCAATGAATGTTAATCTCCGTTTACAAGTCGTGTGTAAAATTAAAACTCATTGAAGCTACTTTAAAGCAAGCGTGGTAACAGTATTTTAACTCCTATCACAAAGATTTGCTTATAACCCAAGGAATTCTAATATAAAGGACTAAACCGTCCTTGCATGTTTAATCGTTTTATAAAAAAAGTAAATTCTCAATAAAGTTAGTTATGTCAGCCTACGTTAGATGTTTCATTTCGTAGTATAGTGTGATGTGTGAACACATTTGAAGGGCTAAAGGCAAGGAATTGTCTAGTTTGTAACATACGAAAACTAAATAACGCACAGCATCGAAAATATTTAAGAGCTTTCTAAATCAACTTTTATATAGTAAGGAAGCGTCTACCAAGTTTATTATATAGGTATATCCAAGGATACCAAGAAAATGTTGAGCAATTTCGGGGCTTCGTCGAATTAATCTTCTTCGTTATATCTGTATTGCGATATTGAACCTTGTGTATAAAAGGGCAAGGTTCAGATTATGCTCAGCGTTTTCTTAGGCTTTTGCGTACACACCGTTACACGGCGATATGCTTCTTCTGATCTTCATTCACGTCAAAATTAATGATGGCAAAACTCACAGATTTACGGACACGATCGCACTAACAAAAGACAATAGCCGAATGTGGAATTCCACAATGTTGCGATTTAATTTTATATCAATTTCTATCGCGAATGCTATCTCGCATAATTCAGATAAAAAAAAATACAAATTCAATGACAAATATATAGTAGGTACGTAAGTAGGTAATTTGTCAAAGCCGATTTGCCAGTTCGAGATAAGTTTGGACTGTCTGTCTTTTGTAACATTGATGCATTGAAATACGCAGGTACTTTTTAAGGATTATTTTCGCTTCTGTGTTTTCCGAATCTGTGTCATTACTGCTTCTAAACATTTGAAAATGATTTCTTTTCTGATTTTCTTAATAAACTATTTTGGTCCTGTGTGTTTATTGCAGAGCAGTTTCATTTAATTTAACGTGATTGTTGAAATTGTAAATCTATTACAGTATATATTTACTTTTACTTGGACTGGTTTTTCTAAGAGAAGGCGAAATCTATTTCGCAGATAGTTTGGAGATGTTATGGAAAATACCGCTTTAGGTATCATCACCTGTGTATTGTACTTAAGTTTCACATTAATAAGCTAGTACTTAGTGACATACTTTAGTGAAATTTGGCCTTAGAGCAAATTTCATCAAACTTTATTACTTTCTATTAGGTGTATATAAAATTTAACAGATTTTTTCTTTACCAATCTTTACTATCTAATACCTTTCCATGTGTACTCAATCAAGTTGTGTTTTAACACTTACTGATGCTTCTGCTTTTCTCATAACAACTAATTAGAGCTCTGCAATCTTATACAATAAAGCACAACGCAATACTAATACAGAAAGGGCAGATTTGTGTTCCATTTTTCTAAACACTGGAAGTGCTCAGATGAATTCGGAACAATATAAATCAACTGGTATCATAGCCTCTAGACAGACTATAAAATATAAGCTTGTTTTTAACGAAATATAAGCTTCTTTATGTACAAAAAATATTCAACAAGTCTGTTGTTAGTTTTACTCTGGCTCGATAGTTTTACTCTGGCTTTACACTTGGTCGTTAGCCCAAAAACGATTGCTAAAGGGATTTAGGTAACTTAATTGAACGGAGATGAGTTCGCCCGCATTCGGGTAGTTTTCGTTTTGGTTACTCGACACCGTCTTCCAGCCCGTATATCAGTGTAAATATTGTTTCCGATGCCCGAATTCGAGAAATGTTTTTCGTGCACCCGAATACGGGCTAACGACCAAGTGTAATCGAGTCATAAAGCGAGTAGGTAAAAATCAACGTGAGGAAAGCTATCGAGAAACACCGTGTGTGAGTACGCAGCATTAGTAGGTGGCTTACACAATCTCCTTGCAAAAATTAAAAAACCGGCCAAGTGCGTGTCGTGCCACGCGCAGTGTACCACACGTGTTTCCTCCTTCTTACAACCTGGGATCCTTTAAAAGAGGCCTGAAGAAGCAAAATGCAGGCCGGCAAGGTGAGAATGACTAGTGTGGCAGGTAAAACTGCGGCACCAGCTATCTTCACGTCTGGACTTCACCGTCACATAACAACCAATTAATATCAATCTATGTATCTCAACTACAATACCTAAATCAAAGTCAAACTGCGTCTCAAACTCAAAATCAATTCGATATTAATTTGTTTTTAAATAATAGATATTTAATGAATATGAATGACTACCGCCGTTTTTTTTTTAAAAAACACACCAATTAGCCTAGCCTCAAAGTAAGCACTATAAGGCTTGTGTTATGGGATACTAGGGTAACGGATAGAATACATATACTTTACATATATAAGTATATTTATATAGAAATACATATTAAACATCCATGGCTGGGGTACAAATGCTAGTGTTCATCACACAAACATCTGCCCCCACCAGGATTCGAACCCGGGACCTCTCGAGTCGGCGACGCCATGAAATCCGGCGTACAAAACACTCGGCCACGGAGGTCGTCGTTTTGTTTCCTCCCAGGCGGGCGAGCGTGTGTAAAATCCTCAAGGCTACCCTACAGCCGGCTGCAAGGATATGTCAGATTCTTACTAACTAAAACACACGTAGTTCATGCTTTATGGCCAGAAGGGCCTTACAAGCTTCATCTGAAGCGATCATGCACTGAGAAGGGGATGATGCGGTATAACCGCCGATCTTTTCAAGTTTATAAAAACGCAACGTTAGCTCAACTCCGAAGCCGTTGCCGTTGGTACTCGCGGTAACGTTGTGGAACTAAAGATATTTTATTGTGGTTTTTAAATTGTTTTTTTATTTAGTCGCAATGCAAGGTTTTTACGCTATAATAACTTCATCTATGTCACTATTAATGATTTCTTCTATATATATATAGGTTAGAAATTTTCTTTTGCCAAAGTTGAACGAATATTACTCTTGAAGTAACAAATCTATCTTAACCGTTATAGTTTTTCTTCAAAGTTTATAAAAAACACTATTATCATGAATTTTTCCAGGTCTCAAGCCAATCGTTTAGATTTCAGAGAGGGGTGGACGCCCTGCTCGATCAAAAATTAGCACTTTCAAGTTCAATATTTCGCAAACAGATCCCTAAATCGATAACTAGTCTTAGCAATCCCTAAGTAATTTTAAAGGACCTATTCAACGATATCCCACTTGATGGGGTAGATGATGAAAAAAAACATCCCCAGGTTATGTGTAGGAGAGCTATCCTAAAAAACTATATATTTCAACATTTTATTCTACCGTTCTGTCGGCGTGTATCGATATACATATCTCCACAAAATTACAGCTCTCTAGTGCTAATAGTCTCCAAGCAAAACTGGGGACGGACAGACGGACATGACGAAACTATAAGGGGTTCACGGAACCCTAAAAAACTTCTATATTTCTGCAAGAAGGTTGCAGCATTTTTAAAAGTCTAACCAAGTTAAGAGTTAAGTGTCAACTCACTCGAATCTGTGGTGGACCTTCGAAGCTTCCAAATACAAATTCTGTTGGTCGTTGTCCGCTATTCCTTCATCACTGTCTTCGTCCGTGATTTGGTGTGCGTCGAACTGCACCCGTTTATCATCCTCGTCATCCCTCAGGATCCCTGAAGCTCCTGGTGCCTGTATCAATAAGAAATCCATTGAGATAACGCGTTACTACCAGTAGTCCGATTTTTTAATGAAATGTTGTTTACACCAAAGTTCTAAAATCAGATTAAAAATCTAAATATGTTTTAGTCTATCTATATTAGACTTTAAACAATTGACAAAAATGGAATAATAATGCCAACTTGACTAAGCCTTCATTTGAATAATGGATATTGGTGCAAGTGGTTTTAACTTTGTTTGGAATATTATTAAATAGTAATTATAGGTTTTGTTTCTTATGACTGCTCATATCAGACTCTTCTAGTACAAGCGAACGAAAACGAAAACAGATAGACTGTGCCACTTTTTTCTATCTCTTGGAATGACAATAGAATAATTCCATTGACGGGGAATATTGAAATACCTGTTATTTCTAAACCTTTATTTAAAAGAATGTTAATACTAGTTTTTTTATATTTGAGTGACGATTAGTTGCTATAGCACTGCTGCTTCTTCCGATCTCAAGGTTCTGTATTCTGTCTGTCAGGTCATAAGTATTTTCACATAGTAAAAACTTTTCTTTTAGAATGCTGGCCACAAAAAAGTTTGTTGAATTCGAATTTCGAATTATTCATGAAAATAAAAATGTATACTTTTTAGAATTTTACTCATTTTTAAATATGGAGTGGACGCCTAAAGAAGACCGTGTTGCAGTTATTGCGTTGCATCGTTGCGGTTACGCGCCAATTCAAATTTTTGACATACTGAAAATTTTTAATATAACCAAAAGATTCATTTATCGTACCATCAAACGATACAATGAAGACTCTAGTGTAGATGACAAGGCAAGAAATGGTCACTCTCGGTCTGCTAGGACTCCAGCAGTGATAAAAGCTGCAAAGGCACGAGTTCAAAGAAATCCCAAACGTAAGCAGATACTGTTGGCCCATGGGGCCAGATGGGGTTAAGCAGAACCACGGTGAAAAGGGTGTTAAATGAAGACTTAGGGCTTCGGGCATATCGAAGAAAAACAGGACATCGTTTGAATGCTCGTCTAATGGACCTGAGACTGAAGAGATGCCGCGCTTTGTTGAAGCGGTACGCGGGAAAACAACATCGGGAAATTCTTTTTTCGGAATAAAAAATATTACCGTAGAAGAGAGCTACAACAAACAAAATGATAAGGTGTACGCACACAGTAGGGAAGAAGCGAGCAACCGTATTCCGCTTGTCCAACGAGGTCATTTTCCATCCTCGCTCATGGTATGGTTGGAAGTTTCTTATTGGGGCTTAACAGAGGTACATTTTTGTGAGAAAGGTGTAAAAACGAATGCAGTTGTGTATCAAAATACAGTCCTGACGAACCTTGTGGAACCTGTTTCCCATACCATGTTCAATAATATGCACTGGGTATTCCAACAAGATTCGGCGCCAGCTCATAGAGCGAAGAGCACACAAGACTGGCTGGCTGCGCGTGAAATCGACATTATCCGGCAGGAAGACTGGCCCTCCTCCAGTCCAGATTTGAGTCCGTTAGATTACAGAATATGGCAACACTTGGAGGAAAAGGCGCACTCAAAGCCTCATCCCAATTGGAGTCACTTAAGACATCCTTGATTAAGGCAGCCGCCGACATTGACATGGACCTCGTTCGTGCTGTGATAGACGACTGACCGCGCAGATTGAAGGCAATTCAAAATCACGGAGGTCATTTTGAATAAACTTTATTGTCAGAAGAATCTATGTTTTGTTAATTTCATTTCGGTATATAAATGGTTACATAATGAATAAACTTGTTTCAATTATTTTTTATTAAACATGTGACAGAATTTATGACCTGACTAGGTATATAAAAATCAATGGTTAGTCTCGCTAAAAGTCGAGGACGACTGAACGGATTTATCTTATCTTGGTCTTGAAATGTTCGTGGAGGTCTAGGGAACGTTCAAAAGGTGAGAAAACATGGAAAAATTGCGAAGAAGATAGTAAAAACGACAATTTAATTTTCCCATATAAACTGTTCCATCTTCTTTCCTGT